CTAGAGTAAAAGTATCTGTTGCAGAGTAAAAGTATGACACGCACTTACTGGGAACTCCTCAACCTGTTGGAAACCTGCAGCTATTTTCCACTATTTCCTGGAAAAACGCCTAAAATAAATGAATCTGTCGTTTCCGTGTCCAGGTGAGGGCATTTTACTTCCTGTGGAAGGAGATGCTTTGCTGATGGATTACTTGGCTAAATACGAGGTAAACCAGTCCGGTAACCCTCCACTGTTGAAGTCTCTCTGTAAGGGCGGCATGGGAGCATCAAAAGCTGCACATGGACGAGCACCAGAGTCTGCAGCCATGTCGCCTTTATTATTTGTGCTCTACACCAGTGACGGCCAGACTCGGTTCAAGTCAAGGTTCATAATCAAGTTTGCAGATGACTCAGTGATTGTCAGCCTCCTGCCACAGACCAGTCCTGGACTATTTCTTCAAATGGTGTCATGACTCATTCTTAACTTATTGTCTCTAAGACGAAAGAGATGCCGAAACCTCCCCGACACGGCGCTGAACCTTTATCAGCTGTAGAGCCGTAGAGACAGTAAGCCAGCACAGGTACTTGGACAACATCCTGGACGGTAAACTGACTTTTGATGCCACCAAATCAGAGACGGTTTTTCCTGGGAAAGTTGAGGAGTTTGACAGGCAAATATCTTATTCATCTTTTATCATTCTGATGGATCCTCAACAACCTCTTCTTGCAGAGTTTTGACTTCTGCTATCAGGGAGGACGAACACTTTCCCCAGGAGAGCCGAATCAAACAGATATCTGAGATCATGTGTTCCAGCTGTTGGGCTTTTAAACAAACTCTAGGCCTGGTTGCACATGTACTCTACTACAGGACTGACGGACACAGAGCTCTAGATCTCATGGTAGATGTACTGTATGTTGATAACATCTATTGTATCTTTTATGTATTTATGTCTTCTATTTATTTGCTTGTTTTATGATGTGTATTGACTACTGTTGCCTCTAGGGGACAATAAAGGCTGTCAAAAAATCAAACAGTAATCCATCCAGTGAGAGCTGTCTGTACATCCGTGGCTACACTGATAACAGGAGCTGCTACCTTCTTCCCATGTGCAGCTGGTCTGATTAACGAGACCCCTACTGACACTTCCCAACCCCCCTTCACCCACTTTACAATCCATACTGCAAAAGTTTGCACATGCACATCAATGCACAAACTGTCAAATTGCACATAGTCCTTATTATCACTGTAAATATGTGTATATAATAGAGTAATGCACATGTAAGTAACTGCCATGTTGTTTTGTTTTTCTTTTACACATAGTTCGATAAGTCTTTTTATTTGTTGATTCCATATTTATATATTTATTAAATCTGTTTTTGTGAACTGTGTGTTTATGTCTAATCACCAGAGCAAATTCCTGGTACCTGTAAAATACTACTTGGCAATAAGCCTCTCTTTCTGATTCTAACAGCTAGCAGCTAATTCAGCTACTGTTGGAGACAGTTGGACTACACGTGTCTGACCTGCAGACCATCTGCTGAGCTTTTCTCGCTCTCCCGACGGCTTTAATGTTTTCTGTTGTCTCATTGTTTCAAAAACAGTAGGTATTGTAGCTGGTGTGGGGGTGATGAAGTATCACATACGAGCTCTGAGTGGGATTAAAATCCCTGAGCAGCTTTAATGGGGATGTAATGGGATTAGCTGATGAAGCGAGCTCGCTGCACACGTCAGGATGTAGTCCACATCAACGACACTCCAACATTATTAAAGCTAAATAAACTACTTACAGTACTACAGAGCCTGCTGAGGTACTGCAGTACTCTGTGTGTATCTGTGAGGAAAACACAAAAGCTGCTTTATGACCTGCTGTCTGTTGCTAAGGAGACGCAGCAGCAAGTATTGCGGGCTGAGACGAGTTTAACGTGCTGCGGCGGCGGGTTTCAGGTCGGCGTTCATTAGTGAGACATCAGGAAATCTCAGGCGTGTGCAGTAAAGGTCAAAGGTCAGAGAGTTCAGAGGTGGAAGAAGCAGGTGGTTTATGATCACACACAGACACCTGCTGCTGTGCAGCAACATTTTTAACTTTTAAAGGGCTTCACGTTGTTTTATAATGAAACGAATCTCTGTTTATTTCTTGGTGAACAGGTTGCAGCCTCACAGAAAAACGATTTTGTTGACTCCCTCTATGCTGCTTCCTATGTAGGATTGGGCATCTACAACAGGGTCCAACTTGAAACCATTTCAAAAATTAAAGATTTGGTTTTGAATCTGACCCTCGGTTCCAAATTTAACATCTAAATGCAACAACTGTGAGACACTTGTTTCATGCACGGGAGGAGGACTGAGGCGTTCGTAGATAAATATATATTGAAATAGTGTCTCTGGCTCGGCCCGGCTCGAGTTCAGCAGTAGTTTCAAGGAGAAGAGAAGCTTCAAGACAATAACTATTGATTAGGAAATGTAACAACTACACAGCATTCACTAAATTCAGAGACAAACAAGTCCTGCTGGTTTATCAATAAATCATCCGGTTTAACAGTGCAGCAGTTGTTCTGCTCCGACACCTTAAATCTGCATCGTTTAGATAATAAGTTTGCTTTCATGAGACCCGCTCATCATTTAAGAAACAATAAACTTCCTTTTAGCTGCGGACCTGGTGTCAGTTTGACTGCAACGTGACCTTTTTGTTTCTGAACAGTGAAAGGCAGCCGTGAAGCCGTGAAGCCGTGACGCCGTGACGCCGTGACCGCTCCGTGCTGAAGTCAAACTCCAGCTGAAGCTCGTGTGTTAATGTGAAGATAACGAGCAAAAAAAAAGCAAACGGAAACGAATCCCCTCGAACCCAGCGCTGTTGCCAAGAGACCCCGCTGCCAAAAACTTGGCTCATTGGCTGGACCGGATGGTGTTGCCTGGCAACCACTGCTTAACGAGCACTCTACCAGGAAGCACTGACAAAAAGTTTGAGATCTGCACGCGCGCACGCACACACACGCACACGCACACGCACACGCACACACGCACACACACACACACACACACGCACGCACGCACATACACACAGACACACGCACACACAGACACGCACACACAGACACGCACACACAGACACAGACACGCACACACACACGCACGCGCACACGCACATACACACAGACACGCATGCACGCACATACACACACACACGCACACACAGACACACACACACGCACACACACACACGCACGCACGTGCACACACACGCACGCACACACAGACACACACACGCACGCACATGCACACACATTCACACAGACATGCACGCCCGCACGCACACACACAGACACGCACACACAGACACACACGCACGCACGTGCACACACACGCACACACACACACACACACACACACACAGACACACACACGCACGCACGTGCACACACACGCACATACACACAGACACACACAGACACACACACACACGCACGTGCACACACGCACATACACACACGCACGCACACACACACACAGACACACACACGCACGCACGTGCACACACACACACCCGTGCGCGCTGCTGTCGGAGTTGCGGTTGATGATTTTCTGAAATGTTCTGGTTCAGACTCTCACTCCCTGTCGGCTTCTCGTCTCCTGAACTCGGATCAGTTTGGTTCCACGTCGGGTTTTTACTGAAGGGAATCTCAGCGGAGGAAAAACCTCCCGCTGCCGGTTTACAGCTGCTCTGTGGCGTCTGTTAAACGGTGAGCACTCGTGGTCGGCGTGCATCAGATTACTGGCCAGAGACGGTTCACTGCAGCAATAACATGGACTTTAACCTTTAAAAGTACCAAGAAGAAACTTTTATCTGTATTTACAGTCTATAAATAAATTTTTGGGTCGTACTGCCTGTAAGATCCACTCACTGAGAGCTGATGGCAACAAAAAGCAGAGAAGGTGAACTAGTGTTAGATCCTGGTGCTGTGCTGAAGTACTTTAATAATTAATGAGGCTGTGCCAGCTGTGTGTGCGTCACCCACAGAGCGTCCTGAATGAACCTGCAGAAGCTCAAATATTCCTGCAGCTACATTTAAAGAACAGCTGCGAATGATCTTAACGGTGAAGCCTTAAAGGAGCTTCTCTGATGGTTTTAATTCCAGGCGAGGTTTAAGAGGTTTTGTACATCCAAAGAACTTGTATAAAACCCAGACCAGGCGTCTAATGGAGACCTGCGTTTATTTGTCAGAACGTGTTCCCACAGCAGGCCAGTACACGGGCAGGCGGCTGTTTGGGACTCGGCTATTAATTGAAGTTTTACAGTATTCGCATTGTTCTGCACAAAATTGAATAATGAATTCTAAAGTAATGTGTTGCCACTTTTAATTTAAATGTACTGCTATATACACAAAAGTGCAATAACGTGGTTTGCAAACACTTTAAACACACCAGCAGTATTCTCTTTACACTGCAGCCAGGGCATGACCTTTGATCTAGCTTGTTAAAACAAGTCAGAGTCCAGAGCCCCGATCAGAACATCAGAACAGGCTCCCTCTGAGCAGCAGGTGTCGCTGTCAGAGTCAGCTGAACGCCCGCCGCCGCCAAATTGAACTGTCTTGAACTTTTTGTACGCGTTGCGCAGCAGGAATCACTGGAAGAGAGACTGACCCCCGCTGATAGTAACACGTTAACTTGCCGCGCCCTGGTTATTTTCATTGGCAGGGTTGTTGGCGGTGAGGCTGACTGACCCGGGGACAGTAGAAATCAGGTAAAACGTGGATCCGTGTAAAGTGTTTTCTGTCTCTGGAGGTCGTCCTGGAGTTACAGACGCATGTTGGAACAGCTGCTGCCGACAGTAGATGTGATGAGTTGAACCAACTTGTCACAAAGAAGCAAGATTATCCAATAATTCACATAAAAGCAAAGATCAGGAGAAAATAAGCATGATGTGTTTTCTGTTAGCAATCTTGTGGGGGCTGCGGGGGCCCCGAGCCCCAGGTTGGGAACCGCTGCTCTAATGCTGCAGTGTGAACACACAGTGTACTCACTGCGGACGGTCGCCGTCCTGGTGCAGTTGTAGAGGATGGCCAGCTCTCCGAACACTTTGCCCGGTCCCATCGTGCACAACTTCATCCCCTCTTTAGTCACCTCCACCTTCCCCTCTGGGCGAGAGACAGCCACACGGAGAGAGAGAGAGAGAGAACAGGAACCTTTATTTTGGAAGGTTTAAACAGGAACTGAACAAGCTGTTGACACTGAACGTTAGATAGATGGATAGAAGCTCAGCAGCCGTTCTGCTTTGTCCTGTCTGCTCCAGCTGTCAGCAGATTTACAACAGATCAGCAGAAAAAACATCAAAAACACACAAAAAAACAGCTTTTTGGTTGAAAATAATATCCTTCCAGCAGCTTTAAGGTTTAAAGACGCAGAAGTTGGGCCGGAGTCCCTCCTCAGGGTTCGGGTCAGGTGCTGTAAATCTTTTTATAGCCTGAAACAAATAAACACAAATAAATATGATGTGTAGTTTGAAGTGATCGGCTGGTGATCAGCTGGTGTGTGTGTGTGTGTGTGTGTGTGTGATGGGAACAAATGTGTTTATTGTGCTGCTTCGACACACTGAAACTAAATAAATCTCTCAGATGTGCTTTCATTATTTTATTTGAGTGTTGGATTACACACAAAAGGAAATGACAGGTGGCCAGTGTGTGTGTGTGTGTGTGTGTGTGTGTGTGTGTGTGTGTGTGTGTGTGTGTGTGAAGATAAACGAGGGATTTTGCATATCAAAGATCATCTGCTTTCATTAGTCAGGAGGACACAGAGCTGAATCATTTACTCAGCTTCACATGTCAGTCAAGGTTTTGTACAATCAGAACATTTATATTAATTACTAAGTTGTTGTTTTAACATATTTCTGGTTTGACAGGCTGTAACGTGTTCAGTAATCAGGGCTGTAGCGGTAAAACAAAGGGAAGGTAAACCCTGCCTGACCTCTGCTACCTCCGCCTGTCAGGCTTTATCTCAAAGAGATAGATTCAGTAATAATAACATAGGGTGCTTGCAGCATCCGCACCCAGTAATGATAATAATAACTTTATGTATTGAGCACCTTTCAAAACTGAGGTACAAAGTGCTCCACAAAAAAAACAAATAAAACTATTAAAAATAAATTGAATTAATTAATTACTTAAATACAGAAAAGACAGAGTAAAGAGGTGGTTGAGGTTGTTCAGAAGGGCGATGGCTGCTCACATGACGATACGGCGTTCCAGCAGACAGTCGATGATTTCTCCAAATTCAACAACAAAATATTTTCTGATGGTGACGATCTGACGTCACCATCAGCAGAACGTCATCTGTCTGTTTCATGGCGTGAAAACACTGTGCTTAAAGTTCAGTTAGGTTTAGATCATCTACTTCATTAAACTACTAATACCACACTGACATGTGCAGCGTCTCTGTCGCAGATGTTTGTGCGTGTCAGTGTTTCCTGTCATCATATGTCTCAGCTGTCCACGTTCAGCATCTGACATTTCAAACTAATACTGACGAAGATGGATTCATGCGTACGGCAGGAAACTGGAAATGTCAGCGTCATCAGCACAGCGGTGACTCACAACAACACAAATACTACAGTTCAGTCAGAGGAGCAGGCAGCGTCCCAGCTGAGCCGCAGATTAGTAAACCTGAGACACAAACAGTCAAACAGTGTCTCCGTCTGAGGTCAGAGACAGGTATATATAGCGTCTCCGTCTGAAGTCAGAGACAGGTATATATAATGTCTCCGTCTGAAGTCCGGGACAGGTATATATAATGTCTCCGTCTGAAGTCAGAGACAGGTATATATAATGTCTCCGTCTGAAGTCAGAGACAGGTATATATAATGTCTCCGTCTGAAGTCAGAGACAGGTATATATAATGTCTCCGTCTGAAGTCAGAGACAGGTATATATAATGTCTCCGTCTGAAGTCAGAGACAGGTATATATAATGTCTCCGTCTGAGGTCAGAGACAGGTATATATAATGTCTCCGTCTGAAGTCAGAGACAGGTATATATAATGTCTCCGTCTGAAGTCAGAGACAGGTATATATAATGTCTCCGTCTGAAGTCAGAGACAGGTATATATAATGTCTCCGTCTGAAGTCAGAGACAGGTATATATAATGTCTCCGTCTGAAGTCCGGGACAGGTATATATAATGTCTCCGTCTGAGGTCAGAGACAGGTATATATAATGTCTCCGTCTGAAGTCAGAGACAGGTATATATAGCGTCTCCGTCTGAAGTCCGGCAGGTATATATAGCGTCTCCGTCTGAAGTCCGGCAGGTATATATACGTCTCCGTCTGAAGTCCGGCAGGTATATATAGCGTCTCCGTCTGAAGTCCGGCAGGTATATATAGCGTCTCCGTCTGAAGTCCGGCAGGTATATATAGCGTCTCCGTCTGAAGTCCGGCAGGTATATATAGCGTCTCCGTCTGAAGTCCGGCAGGTATATATAGCGTCTCCGTCTGAAGTCCGGCAGGTATATATAATGTCTCCGTCTGAAGTCCGGCAGGTATATAGCGTCTCCGTCTGAAGTCCGGCAGGTATATATAACGTCTCCGTCTGAAGTCCGGCAGGTATATAGCGTCTCCGTCTGAAGTCAGAGAGAGGTATATATAACGTCTCCGTCTGAAGTCCGGCAGGTATATATAACGTCTCCGTCTGAAGTCCGGCAGGTATATATAGCGTCTCCGTCTGAAGTCAGAGAGAGGTATATATAACGTCTCCGTCTGAAGTCCGGCAGGTATATATAGCGTCTCCGTCTGAAGTCCGGCAGGTATATATAGCGTCTCCGTCTGAAGTCCGGCAGGTATATATAGCGTCTCCGTCTGAAGTCAGAGAGAGGTATATATAACGTCTCCGTCTGAAGTCCGGCAGGTATATATAGTGTCTCCGTCTGAAGTCAGAGAGAGGTATATATAGCGTCTCCGTCTGAAGTCCGGCAGGTATATATAGCGTCTCCGTCTGAAGTCAGAGAGAGGTATATATAACGTCTCCGTCTGAAGTCCGGCAGGTATATATAGTGTCTCCGTCTGAAGTCAGAGAGGTATATATAGCGTCTCCGTCTGAAGTCCGGCAGGTATATATAGCGTCTCCGTCTGAAGTCCGGCAGGTATATATAGCGTCTCCGTCTGAAGTCAGAGACAGGTATATATAACGTCTCCGTCTGAAGTCCGGCAGGTATATATAGCGTCTCCGTCTGAAGTCAGAGACAGGTATATATAGCGTCTCCGTCTGAAGTCCGGCAGGTATATATAGCGTCTCCGTCTGAAGTCCGGCAGGTATATATAGCGTCTCCGTCTGAAGTCCGGCAGGTATATATAGCGTCTCCGTCTGAAGTCCGGCAGGTATATATAGCGTCTCCGTCTGAAGTCCGGCAGGTATATATAGCGTCTCCGTCTGAAGTCCGGCAGGTATATATAGCGTCTCCGTCTGAAGTCCGGCAGGTATATATAGCGTCTCCGTCTGAAGTCCGGCAGGTATATATAGCGTCTCCGTCTGAAGTCCGGCAGGTATATATAGCGAATCATTTTCTGCAGCCTAAACTATTAATAATAATTTAGGAAACGTTGTGTTTACATTAATTTAAAAAAGAGTGACTATATTTTTCCTCCTCATTAGCAGGAGGATGTTTAATTATCTCTTCAGCTGGGTCTCAGGTAGATGACAGGAAGTCAGTTCCACTCTGTTTCACTGTGATATGATGGAGCACACAGGTGGATCAATTACATGTTTATTGTCATTAAGGAGTTCTGCAGCGGCATGAGTTCATGTAATCACCCCCCCAGCAGAGATTAATGATAACCGTACAACATTCTGACACATCAGAGGAGGAATCACAGGTGGAACTCAAGAAAATGTGTTTATCAGTTTATCATTTCACAGAGAAGGTGGACAGAGGGTGATAGAACAGCTAAGGGAACAGCGTGGGCGACCGACTACCACAGAGCGAGAGAGAGAGAGAGTCTGGTTCCTGTAAAACTGCAGCTGCCGCAGGAGGCAGGTATGCACTGGGACTGGTACAGTACTACAGTTTGTACCTCACAGGCTGTGTAGTATTGTGTGTCGTGAGTGCACTCTGGTTTTAAACCCTTTTAATGTGCAGAATATAAAACGCTGCTGCTTCACGTGTCTGTCCAACTAAAACATGAAGCAACAAATATTAGATTTCATATCTGAGACCGAAGGTTATCTTCAGAAAGGATATTAGCACACGACAAATTAGGATGCAGAAGTCGACCCTCACATAACGAGGGGTGTGCGATCTGAATCAACCATAATATCTTAATTATTGTTTAAAGGATGTGTGAGCAGACATTATCAAGTTTACATATCACTGACTTTGCAAAAACTCCTCCATGCAGCACACGTGTGCTCCAAACAAGCAACGGCTGCCGAAAAGATCCTGACTGAAGTTAAAAAACCGAGAACACAAAGTGCCAGGAGGCGCAAAACATCTTGCTTCAGAGAAGAGAAGGAACCTACAACAACTGTTTGTAATCAGAAGGACCAGAGAGCGTGGAAATGCTAAACCGGTACAATCAGACTCTCTGAAGTCCCTGCAGGGGATTTAAGTGTCAGCCTGAGCCGGGAGCTGTGGGTTAATTTGACTGTAATAATGACAAACAGCGCAGATCAGAGTGAGAGCTCCTCCAGTTACACTGATTTCTGTCTTTGTTGCTCCAAACTGAGACACACAAGCGCTTAAAACGATTCAATTTGCATCCACTCAACTGTTTGACGTTTGACTTCGGTTTTCTAAACTCATTAAAGCAGCTGGAGAGTTTTTCAGCCGCTCTGACGGGCCGTCAGCAGGAAGCTAAAGGAGAGAAACTCTCAGCAGAGATGACTCCATCACAGAGCCAGCTCTCTCCAGCTTCAGCAGACCTGCACAAAGGGAAAGTTTGAGCTTCAGTCAGGCGATCGCGTAGAGCGATCACATTACAGCCGCTGATCCACCGTCACATGCGGGGATCAGAAATCTGTTTAGTGTCAAGTAGGTTTATGTTTTAGAGCTTTACACAACAATAATAATAACCTGCAGGACACGACTTCAGTTCATCACAATACAACTGAGAACATGATGAATACCGATCACAGCAAACTGATAAGAAGTCAGTCA